CTTCCTCACATAACCCCATGGACTCATAAGTAACACTCACATAACCCCATGAACTCATCAGTAACACTCACATAACTCCATGGACTCATAAGTAACAGTTTAGGACAGTTTCTTAGAGCATTTCTCAGAAGTTTCATTGCAGAAAGATTTTGTGAAGCTGCACCGTTTATGTTTGGCCACTAGATGGCAGGACTGTATAAATTCCAGTCAGCCAAAAACTACAACAGTCGAGACTTATTCTGCCTTTTAGGAATTCATTAGTTGATATTGATGTAATATTATGAATATTATAATCAGTAGTAGAATCGAGATATTAAAAGGATGAATACACTTGTTACTGTAATCTTTACTTAAGCATTTATAAAACATTATGGAAACATGTAATACATTGTGTTTGATTAACCGTTATGTGTTCACATAATAATAATAATAATAATAACAATAATAAATCAATTTTCTATAGCGCTTTTCAAAATACCCAAAGCTTTGCAAGGCAGGGACAAACAGAACAAACAAAAAAAAAAGAATAGCTGTAGAAGCTGTGCTGAATGGGTCATGTAATGGAGGGTAGGGTGCAGGGGTTAACAGGTGAAAGCGAGTTTGAAGAGGTGGGTTTTGAGGGCTTGTTTGAATAATGATAGGGAGGGAGCCTCACGGATGTGGATGGGGAGGACATTCCAGAGGGGAGGGCAGCAGCTGAGAAGGCCCTGTCACCCCAGGTCCGGTGCTTGGTCCTGATGGTCTTCAGAGTGTTTGCACCGGCGGACCTGAGGCAACGGGTTGGGGCGTGGAAGGGGAGGAGGTCTGAAAGGTAGGGAGGGGCCAGGTTGTTTAGGGCTTTGTAGGTGGTGAGTAGTATTTTGAAGTCTATTCTGTATTTGACCGGGAGCCAGTGGAGGTTGTGAAGGACCGGGGTGATGTGATCATAGCGGCGGGTGGAAGTGAGCAGTCGAGCGGCAGAGTTCTGAACATATTGGAGTTTAAAGATGATTTTGTTGGGAGAACCGTAGAGGATGCTGTTGCAGTAGTCGAGTCTGGAGGTTATGAGGGCATGGATGAGAATTTCGGTGGTGGCAGAGGACAGGGAGGGTCGGAGGCGTGCAATGTTCCTGAGGTGAAAGAAGGCAGTTTTGGTGATGTGGTTGGCGTGGGGTAGGAAAGAGAGGGTGGGGTTGAGGATGATACCGAGGTTGCAGACCTGGGTGGAGGGGGTGACGATGGAGCCATCAATGTTGAGGGAGAAGGGCTGGGCTGAGCGGGTGAGGGAGTTAGGGCCGATGATGAGTATTTCAGATTTGTTGCAGTTGAGTTTGAGAAAGTTCTGTTGCATCCATGATTTTATATCAGTGAGACAGGTGGTGAGAGTGGAGTGGGTGACGGAGGTGATGGTCTTGGTGGAGAAGTAGAGTTGGGTGTCGTCAGCGTAGCAGTGGAAGTTGAGACCATGACGACGGATGATTTGTCCAAGGGAAAGGATGTAAATGATGAAGAGGAGGGGACCAAGCACGGAACCTTAGGGGACACCGTGGGTGACTGGGGAGGTGGAGGATTTACAGTTGTTTATTGCAATGAATTGATGTCGGTCTGAGAGGTATGAGGTGAACCAGGAGAGGGCAGTGCCAGTTATGCCAAGGGAGTACTGGAGACGTGAGAGGAGGATGGAGTGGTTGATGGTGTCGAAGGCGGCACTGAGGTCAAGGAGGATGAGGATGGAGAGGAAGCCAGAGTCAGCAGAGAGAAGTATGTCATTTGTGACTTTCAATAGGGCGGTTTCTGTGCTGTGTTTTGAACGGAAGCCGGATTGGAAGGGTTGGTAGAGATTATGGAGATTGAGGTGGGACTTGAGTTGTGATGCAACAGCTCTCTCAAGGACTTTGGACAGGTAGGGGAGGTTGGAGATGGGCCAGTAGTTGTTGGGGATGTCGGGGTCAAGACCAGGTTTTTTCAGCACGGGGGTAACAGCAGTGATTTTGAGTGTGGGGGGTATGAGACCAGTAGACAGTGAGGAGTTGATGTTGGTGATGAGAGGGGAGAGTGAGGGGAGGCAGGCCTTGACTAAGGAAGAGGGGACAGGTGGAAGTCTTCATGCTGGAGAGTATGGAGGAGAGGTCCATTTCAGTGATTGAACTGAAGGATGAGAGTGAGTGGCTTGGAAGTAGGGGAGAGTCATGTTGAGGGCTGGGGGGTGGTAGAGGGGGTAGGGGGCTGCCAGCTGGTTGTGTATTGCAATGATTTTGTCGTTGAAGAAGGATAGAAATGAGTTGCATTTGCTGGTGGTGAAGGAGGTGGAGATGGTGTCCATGGGCTTGAGGAGTTTGTTGATGGTGGAGAAAAGCGTTTTGGGGTTGTTGGAGCCAGATTGGATGATGGAGGAGTAGTGAGAGGAGCGAGCGGTGTTCAGGGCATCTTTATATTGTTGTTGGTGGAGTTTGAAGGCATCAAGGTGAACAGTAAGTCCAGTTTTGTTGGCAAGACATTCCAGTTGACGGCCCTGCACTTGAGGAGGTGAAGTTGGTCAGTGTACCAGGGGGCGGAGTGGGTGAAGGAGATGAGTTTGGATTTTTTGGGGGCGATGACGTCAAGACAGGAGGAGAGTGCATCATTATCGTAATTGACCAGGGCAGTGGGGGAGGCAGACGAAATAGGGGCAAAGGCAGAGACAGTGGCAGCCAAGGTGGAGGAGAGCGAGGAGATGTTGACAGACTTGATGTTCCGGAATGTTATGGTGCGATTCTGCTTAACATGGGGGGTGGGGATGTCTATGTCCAAGGTGATAGCCAGGTGGTCAGAGATGGTGAGGTCGATGCTGGTTAGATTGCTGATGGTAATGCCGGATGTGCAGACCAGGTCAAGTGTGTGTCCTTTTTTATGGGTGGGAAAGTCGGCATGTTGGGTGATGTTGAAGTAGTTAAAGATGTCCAGGAGTTCTGTAGAAGTTGTGGAGTCAGATGAGTTGACGTGTATGTTAAAATCACCGAGTAGCAGAATGGATGGAGAGATGGTGCAAAGTTGTGTGACAAATTCAGACAGGTCAGAAGGGAAAGCATGGTTAGGTTTTGGGGGGCGGTAAATGACTGCCAGGGGTTTGGGACCAGACGGTTTAAAGACAAGGTGTTCAAATGAGGAGGGAGCCGGGATGGTTATTGCACTTGTAATGATGTATTTGCGAACAATTGTGGCTATTCCACCACCACGCCCGTGGTACATACACAGTGATATTCACAAAACAAACAATAATTAATCAATGAATAAAATAAACGTGACAGAAATCAGAATAAAGCATTCTGTGGCAGCGTGTAAAACAATAAGATGCCAGACATAAGAGACGTGCAAATTATTTATGGGCTCATGGAATCAAATTAATTCTCAGACGTTGTTTAACAGAAGATAATAATTTGGCAAGATACGCTGTTAGGGAACACAAGTTTTAGATAAATCAGAACACACTGTCACACAACCTGTTTCCTCCGTGTTCTCAGTAGAATGTTGTATGAATGCGGCTGTGAATGATGTGTGAACAGAGCTTCAGGATATAGAGAGGAGTGAAACTGGAGAGGTGGGTGGATGTACAGTAAGTGCTGCTGAAGTGGAGATTCTGGCCTTGATACACAATAATATACATTTAGAAGACAGTACAGGTGAAGAGGGTAAAAAAATAACCACGGTTAAAATTCATCATATTACATTTCCCCAGTTGATTACAATTACATCAATTCCATTACAAGTTTTCTGAAATGTTAGATTTGAATATGCAAATGAGGTATTATCTAACGCTAACTCTTGGTGAATTTAGGAGAAATCTACGCAAATTGACAAAGTAGTAAAATAAACAGTTAATAAAACGTTTTCTTTGCACTAGTCTGAAAGAAGACGTCTTATGGAAGCAGAACAGAACATCTCTGAAGTGACCAGAGCATGACAATGTTTTGCCTTTCGCCTTGAAATTCTAAACTGTTTAAATCTCTGACATGATCGTCAGGTGAAATAAAACCCAGGCCTAGGCGAGGTGCTGGTGTGACCTACAAAATGTAGACCGTCAATCAAGAACTACATTTGGGTTTTTCACCACAGGGATGTGTAATGATGAACCACGCTACGACTCAATGTGTGCATGCAGGGGCCAATGACTGTTTTCTTCTTTTCAGCATTCAGGCGAGACGCAACCAAGCAACGACATTGTTTTCCGTGCACTCAAGATTGCCAACCCTGGCTTTAAGCGGTATCATAGATGGAGGAAGACTGCACACAAGCAGATGACGACCATGTCCTATAATAATATTTTATTATTTACTTTCATTTAGTCCCCCTCCCATGTTTGTGACTTGTTTCTATAGTTCTATATCGCGCACACTATGAAGCATACAGCACACATTATCGTATCGTCTCGTCAGGTGATCAAATAGAAACTTGACGTTGGAATATATCAACATATTACCTGTTACCAAGTGGAACTGACGGGGTGAAACTATTGGGTCCGGCGGACCAGTAATGAGGTGCACGGGCCTGATTAGGTGAAAAGATGCACCTGCTGGCAAATCGCGGCCGTTGTCTTTCTCTCCGCCGCCACAAGCGGGGGTGCCGAGTCCAACTACTTCCTCTCCCACAACAAGCATAGACGTAGCGTGAGGCCGCATGAGAAGTTGCGTCGGTGGCGCAGTGTCTGGGCGGCATCCGTTACGGAGGGGACATCGTGTGTTTGGGGGATGGCTGACTCGGAGCTTCCTGAGCAGCTTCCAATGGCAGCTGGGGGGGAATCCAAGTGGGGGTGGTTGGGTTGCTGAACATTCGTTAGTTGGACGCTGCCTTGGTCTGTTGTTTTGTTTGTTTTGATTTAAATTGTTTGAGGCCGATCTTAGTGTGAACTCCTCCTGCCCGCTAAACCAGCTGTCACTGGTTGCTTCACACAGTTAGATTTGTACTAATAAAAGATTTATATTTTTATAACGCTGCTTCCTGTGTGTACGTGCCTTTACGGTGTTTTGAACCGGATTTCTGTGGTAACGGGGTGCTACATTACCCATTAATCATCATTGTATGAATTGAATTGAATTATGTATTTGATTGTGTTTTTTAATTCTTTATTAGTTGTAAAAGTCATGTATAGTCATGTTAATGCTACGCACTGGAGAACCGTGACAGAGACTGGTTTGCCTTTTCCAGGGATGTAAAATGGTCATTTTGATATAAACACTGTCTCTTATTCATATATTGATTGTAGGGGCTCTCAGGACAATCTAACCATTCACACCTGGTACAGAACAAGCAGAGCTGGGTATTGGACTGCCATAAACAAATGGCACCACTCGCACTCATAGCCACTGTCTATATATCAACACCTCTGTTTGTATGTCAGTTTAAAAAGTTGAATTCTGTTGTGTGCAAAATGCATCAAATGGATCTGCTTTGCATACACAAATATGTCTCAAGAGATGACTAAATATACAAATCAAGAGGTGTATTGATATGAATATATGTTAATATATATATTCCCTAGATCCCATCGTACAATACTAACAGGTGAGCAGTAACGCATATGAACTAGTACCAAGTACCCTGAACGCAGGATAGAGCGGTTCGGTGAAAGTGCAGCTGAAGGTGTTGAGGTGGATCAGTGTGTTAGAGGAGACACTGTAGAAGGACAGCGTGCCAGCGGGCCAGTCCACATACACTGCTACTGTTTTGGAGCCGTGGTGCGATGACCTCTGACCTCTGACCTTCCCGTTGTGCCAAGCGATGTCGCTGTAGCACTCTAAGCACCACGACTTGTCGTTCCAACCGAGCAGAGAGTCGTCCTTTCGTCCTTTCCTGCCGATTCCTCTGTACGCCACTCCTACGTAAACTGGTCCTCGGCACTCCACCTCCCAGTAGCAGCGCCCGGTCAGACCGTTTGTACACAGGACCTGGCTCATGTGTTCAAACCTCTCTGGGTGATCAGGGTAGGACTGCGCCTTCCCGACGCATGTAACCTGTTTGGCACGTTGAGTTAGGAGTAAATTCTCCTGTGCTGTGTTTGGGTCCAGTGTGAGTTCACAGGCATCTGCCAGGAGGAAAAGGGACACAGCTGGTAAATGGAGTGAACTTTCATTCACAGACAAGTTATTTCAGTTGCAGAGGAGTTCTTCAGGATCACATCTTCCCTTTAATACTGAACATCTGATTTCTGTGAGGGAGGCAGGGTTGGATGACTTATGAGTCCGTGCCTGTGTCCCTGCTGGAGTTGGAGAAGATGTATAGGTAAGAACGTATCTGCGACAAAGAAGTTAGGGACGGATGCTGAAGGCTCTTTTTCAAGCTGTCACAACCAACGTGCTTCTTGCATGGAAATCAAAGATGGTGCAGGTCAAATAACATGCTGAACGGACCTGTACAGCGCTTTTCTAGTCTTCTGACCACTCAAAGCTCTCTAACTCTACATGTCATCATTCACCCATTCATACACTGATGGCAGGGGCTACCATGCAAGGTGCCAACTGCCCATCAGGACTATGTAATCATTCACACACATTCACACTTTAGGCACAGCTTAAGTGTCTTGCCCAAGCACACATTGACATGGACTAGTGGCCAGGGGATCAAACCTCCGATCCTCTGATTGAAGGACGACCCGCTCTAACACCGAGCCACAGTCGCCATAAGAGTCTACAGCCATGCTAGCAGCTCTGTAAAGCTCTACTTGGGCACAGAGATGCTTTCGGCTAAATGCTAACGTCTGCATGCTAACATTATCACATAGATGACATCAACATACCAGTGTGTTGCTGGACATATTTACCAGCTTTACCATCTTAATCATCACGCTGAAATGTAGAGATGTTCCGATATTTCTTCCTTCACAATATCGATTCCGATACCTGGCCTTTTGTAGCGGCAGATCCCAGTGTGTTAAACACGGTAAAATTCCCCCTCTAATATCTATTCTATATTTCTTATTGAAAACATCTTCAAACAAATGTAATTATTCAAATTTCTACTCCAAAGCTACATTTTATATGATTACATTTGAGCATATCATGATAACGTTATTATCAACCTTCACTCAATACAATTGTTTTACTGAATAGAGCTTGAAAGCATCATATTGTAACTCCCTACGTTAAGAAGAAGAAGAAACATTCCTTTATTAGTCCCACAGTGGATTGCACGAGAGTGTTTAACCACTGGTGTGTAGCACTATTTTGCACATGTGCAGTACGGATCGGGCAGGTTGCACGGATCGGGTAGCGAGTGTCACGTGTTGTTGTTCCTGTGGAACGTAACATAATGTGATATTGGGTTAGCTCACGGACTCCGACACCAGGCTGAAACCTCTGGTTCCCGAGAGTGAAGCCAATGCGGAAGTGTCATAAACTTGCATTCTCTCCACTGTTGCAAAAAGAAGTCAGATTGTACAGAAGTCTATGAGAAAATGATTCTACTTCTGTCTTGATTTATTATGTAAACATAGTAAAGATGAGTTTATGGCCTCAAACCTTCTTCTATGAAGCATGATGTCCATTCAGTAAATTATGGTCCATTTACAGTCAAATAGACCATAAAGCAGGGTATGCTTTAGGGCGGGGCTATCTTGTGATTGACAGGTCACTCCCACAGCCGAATACAGTGTCTTTATTTTCACTCCTCCGCAGTTTAGATATGGTCACTTCCATTCACCGGTTGCAAAAGCCAAGAAGGCGAGGGCCAAAACGTCGAACTTGAGGCCTCAAAACGGCAGGCCACAAACCAACTGTTGAGAGGCTGCCTGAGGCTGCAGCGGGTAGGATATGAGCGGTGGGGACCCTCCAGAACCTGAGCGGCAGAGGGCAAATACCGACTGGTGGAAGTCTTTGTTCCACCAGTCCTCATAAAAGGTGGCATATTTTCCCTTTAACAGACCACGTTAAAGTTGCAATAGATCACTTTTCAACTCCCCCACTAGTGTTACCAAGTGGTATTATTGTTGCCGTCGGTGACGCAAAGATAACCAGATTGCGTTCAGTATTTTCTCAGAGCTTTCTACTAGCAATTTATTCAGACCATCAGGGAAAAATCAACAAATATATTATATTGAAATTAGGGGTGCAACGGATCACAATCCTCACGGTTCGGTTCAGATCACGGTTCGGATCAGCAAAGAAAAGGGGAGGAATCAAATATAATTTTGCTTTCCACTCATTAATTAAAGAACTTCAAGAACACTTAAAGCAAAGAACTTTGGGCTATAGTCTTGCATTAAAAACAAATATTGAAGATGTCCAATTTGAAATAAATAAATGAAACATTCAAGAATACTCAATTCTGTTAAGTTTAAGTGCAACATGAGGTATGTTGATATGGGATGTTGCTATTGGGCCTGTCTAGCTTCACTCTGCTGCTTGGGTCTATGTTTACTTCCTGTCAGGTTATGTCATTCAAATACACTGCAATAATGTTTACCATTACTGTGAAAGTCTACAACTTTACATTTGTTTTAAAAAAAGATGAGAATATCTCCATTGTCTGGGGAGAGGGTAGAACTTTCTGTGGTGAATGGGATATTACTATTGGGCCTGTCTAGCTTCCACTCTACTGCTTCTGTCAGCGTCACGATGACTATGGCCGATACCCAATCCAGTATTTCTGAAACTTTTCCAATACGAGTGAAGAAGTTAACTAAAATTTGAACCAATACGTTAGAAATATGGTTCACATTATACCTGCTGAACACAGCATGTTTGTGTGCTGACACTAGCACTGAAGTTGCAAGATCCGAGATTGGGAGCATTTTGATTGCCTCCCAACATGTCTGCGACGAGCGAGCGCTCATAGCTAACGGTGCTAACTACGGTGAAAGTGCTGACAGAGCTAACAATGTTTACCTGAGGGGGACACGGAGGGTCAATGGTGGAAAGATTCTTTACTAGTTTTGAAGTTAGTCATTCAAAACAGCAACGAACATTATGGATGTCCGCTGTTATGGATGTTTCATATAAAAAATACTGCACTTCTTCTTTATTGCCTTGGAAAAACAGGTAAAAAAACTGGTGCATGGTGTACAAGCCAAAAGTGTTCTATGATCAACATGAAACATATAATTATGTGAAAAAAAGACCCACAAGGTCTCCCAAGGAAAAAAGGGTTAGTGTGATGTTTATATTTGGAAATATGATCAGAAGCAGCAGAATTAGATTTTTGCTCAGAGTATAAGTGAGAGTGGTAGAATAGGTAAGGGTGAAAAAGTACTTACATTTCCTAGGCCCGGGCAAGATCCTGAACTCTCCACAAAGATCAACCCTGAAGGAGAAGAAGAGGGGATATCATGATCAGTTGCCTGTGTTTGACAGAACCCATTGGTTGCACGACAGTGAACCCACATGTGGTTATGTTTGACTGTCTGCATACACAGACACCTTTACACATGTTTGTGGATGTGTACAGTCCATGCTGTGTGTAGATGGTCGGCATCGATAGAGGCGACAGGTCAGTTAGGGCTAGAGGCCTATCTTCTACCTATCTTCTACTAAGTTTGCTGTTTATAGATCCAGTTTGAGATTCAACAACTCAGTGTCCACTAGTCGTGGATATTTTTATAAAACAAACCGCTGAATAAAAGAACTTGAAATGGTTCTTTGGGGGGAAAACACTACTGCTAGCTTATCAGAGAAGACGCTTTTTTGCTTCCCATGCGCGTTATTATTCGGAGGGGATGGTACTTTGTCAAGAACAGGCTTTCAGGATCTCAAGCATCTTTCTGAGAGGATTACCAAACATTAAAGCAGCAGGACAACACAATAGATTTGACTGTCGCACATAGCTGTCACAGGTAGATTTGCCATGAATTTGAGTAAATTACTTATTCTTTTTCAAAATAGAAAAAACCTGTCTGACTGAGGAACTGCATCAAACCGCTCAGAATGTTCCTTTATGTTCCTTAACGTAACTGTATAAAAGACTTCCAGTGGAATAAAATGACGTAGAGCTGAGTCCTCTTGAAGTAGCAAGGATCAGTACTTCTGCTGACTTCTGCTCGTTAGGATCAGGACACTTTCCTTGGACAAAGTGTAAAGTCCTCACTGTGTATTTCCAACAGGTTACTGTGCTCTCTAAAAACTCTTTCCTTTCTCATGTTAACTTTTGAAGCTTTTGTGAAACTGTCTACCTTGAATTGAAGATTGACTAATCTAAGAGCAAAATTACAGTTGGGCAAATACTACAGACCAGTCTTAATATCTCAGTGAACGCATGCCAGCTTGTCTGGCTTTACCACAGTAAGCCTATAGAGCCACTTCGAACTCACATCCTGTGTTCAAAGACCAAATGATTTGCATTGTAACCAGGCGTCTACCTCCGGTTCTGAAAAATGAATCAAATACTATTGTAAGTGTCATAAACCTGCCTTCTCTGTAGTGTCCACCAGGGGGCGACTCCTCTGGTTGTATAGAAGTCTATGAGAAAATTACTCTACTTCTCTCTTGATTTATTACCTCAGTAAACATTGTAAACATGAGTTTATGGTCTCAGTCTCCAGTTTCAAGTCTTCTTCAATACAGCATGATGTTCATTTAGTAAATGATGGTCCATTTAGAGTCAAACAGACCATAAAGCAGGGGATGTATCAATGAATGTCAACACTAAACAAACACGATTACAGCTTCTACTAAAAAGGAGAAACTGTTGATCAAGAACCACCAAAATGGCCACTGAGCAGCTCATTATGTTACAAGACAGAGGCCATCGGTTGGTGAACTGTTGAGTACCTGAGAGTTTCTAGTCTCCACTGTGGATTCTTAAGTCCAGCAGAGAGCAGCTCCACCCCTGAGTCTCCTGGATGGTTGTAGCTCAGGTCCAGCTCTCTCAGATAGGACGGGTTGAAGCTCAGAGCTGAGGCCAAAAAAGCACAGCCTCCCTCTGTGACCAGGCAGCCTGACAACCTGCAGAGAGAACATGCTTAATCCTCCAAGGACCACTTTCATGCTGGTGTGCTGGCATTAAGGTTTCATTATCTCTATGTCAAAGCGCAGGTTCAGGATTACTGACCTTAGTGTTTCCAGTCTACAATGTTGACTTTTTAGTCCAAAACAGAGCTGATCCACTGCTGAGTTCTGCAGGTCGTTGTTACTCAGGTCCAGTTTTCTCAGACTGGAGTACTGAGAGCTGAGAACTGAGGCCAGACATTCACAGCTTCTCTTCGACAGGTTACACCAACTGAGACTGAAGAGGATTTAGTGATGACAATTCATTTGTTTGAGAACAACAGTTGTGGTGGGTTGAAGCACCATGACAGGTATTATAGAAAGAAACAAAAGAAACAGACAACCGTATCATTTAAGTTGCTAAATTCCAAATTCAGAGCAAATGATTGAGGGATTGCCTCCACACGCCTCATAACATGACAACGGCTGAGCTGGGGGCTAGAAGCTAACAGTGCTAACAGCACCGACACTGCTAAACAGTGCTGACTGAGCTAACAGTGTTAAACTGAGGGGGAAGCGGCAAACACACTGGGACTCGGTGTGCGGCCGGACCAGCTACTTAAAAAAAGCACAGAGAAGCACGCAGAGGGAGATTGGCTTCATTTTCCACTACTCCACTATATCTTTACATAGCAAATAGTTGTTTGCTACGTAGAGTTAATGCTCTGAATTTTTAGCACCTTCAGATTACGTGACAGAACAGTAGGCAGACCTGAGATTTTGCAGTCCACAGTGGGGGCTCTCCAGTCCAACAGAGAGCATGTATAGTCCTCTATCCTGCAGGTTGTTGTTGCTCAGGTCCAGCTCTCTCAGACTGCTGTATTGTCCCACATTGTGACAGCAGAACTCTGTTGGCTCAGAGTCTTTTGGTCTAAGAAAGAATGGCAATAAAAAAAGTCCATAGGCCAACTTCATAGTAAGATATTTAACGTACTGTACAGCAATAAATATGTAACATGTAATATGTCAATTGTCATGAATCGTTGTTCAATAGTTTTGCTGTTATGAAATTAGAATGTGAAGATTACGGTACACTCTCCCTACAAAAGTAAGTAAATCCTGTGGAATTAAATTAATTCAAAACAATACAGAAACATAATTAAAGTCACAGTTCTGTATTGTCAGTTTTCCCTGAACTGCTAATTCAATTATAATCAATTTACGTTGTAATATTTTTGTCAAGTACTGATGAATACACTCATTTTTAAAGCCCCTCAAGAAAAATGTAAATAAGTCAATAAAAAATTAATAAGTATACTTGTGTGGCTCCGGTATCTTCATCAAATTCAACATCTTGAGTTTGGGTTTTCTTGGGGGATTGTGGCTCAGGTCCAGCTCTGTCAGATGGCAGCAGTTGGAGCGCAGTGATGCGGCCAAACAAGCGCAGCCTTTCTTTGTGACCTCACAGCTGGACAACCTGCATGTGGCAGTCTTTTATTAGTTTGATTCTGAAACTTAAGTTGCTCACTCTTGTTTTTCAATTCTTTATCGCGACTGGCTGGTTTTGCATTGATATCCATTGTTTATATATAATATGTTTAAATTTTACAATTTTACATCACAGAGGGTACATTAAGTTTTTAAATATGGATTATTACAAAATAGAAACACAGGGCATACTGTGAAGATTAGCAGGAGTACAGGTGGCGTCCTAAGGAGTTCCATGAAATATCTCATGATATTTTTCCACAGACTAAACTGCAAACATCAACGTTACACTTTCTGTTGTGTAAACTGGATTATTACAGGGAGCGATCTGTTTTGGCACTCATGCTATTGGACAAAACAGACTCCTGTTTTAATCCCAGTGTTTGCAGTAGTAACTTAATTGTCCACATGGAAATAATGTAATAACTGAATGCAACATTTCTGACTTTGGCGTCTTATGGCTGCATCAAGAATTCTTTTAATTCAGACCTCAAAAACAGATGCATTAGCGAGATCAACTAATGAAACACAGTCATGTAAAGCAGTGAGAGTGGAGTGAAGTAGGTACTGACCTTAGATTTTCCAGTCTACAGTTAGGATTTTTCAATCCAGTAGAGAGCCGCCTCACTCCTGAATCCTGCAGGTCGTTGTAACTCAGGTCCAGCTCTCTCAGGCTTGAGGACTGCGAGCCGAGAACTGAAGCCAGGGCTTCACATGATAGGTGTGAGAGCTCACATTGGCTCAGTCTGAATTAGAATGGGAGTGGGATATTAAAGTTATTTATGTTTCATATATTATATGGTAGAATATATTGTTACACCTAGCAGATCACTAAATTAAGATGTGCGCAAAATGCAAAATGTAAAGTTACCTATCTCACTAAAAATGGATTATTATGGACTTTTACTTGTGTAGCGCCTTTATAGTCTTCCAAACACTCAAAGAGCTTTGACACTACATGTCATCATTGACCCATTCACACCCATTCATACACTGGTGCTAGGGGCTACCATGCAAGGTGCCACCTGCCCATCAGGACTATCTAACCATTCACACCCATTCATACACTGTGTGTAGGCACAGCTACGGGAGCAATTTGGGGTTTATTGCCCAAGGAGCCATGGACTAGCGGAGCCGGGGATCAAACTGACGATCCTCTGATTGAAGGAAAATCTGCTCTATCCCTTAGCCACAGTCATTATGTGACTAATGAATATACAGCATTGATATTTAGGGTCTAGACAGCAGGGGAAGCTGGATACAGGGGAATCTCTGACTATAATAAACAGTCTCAGTGTCTGTTTAGTCAGAGATTCCCTGTTTGGGGTAGATTCTGTTTGGCTAGTTCCAGTCAGAGTGAGATTGCTGCTTTGGGTTTGTTTGCTATTCAGTCGGGTGTAGTGCAGTGCACAAATTATGCGGACAAAATAAAAGAAGTCCAACTCAGACCTCCCCCACTCTTGTTAACCTGTCCTGTACTGTGCCAATCTCAACAAATGCCGGTTCACCGCCTGCAATTGGGTCGCATTATCTTCTCATTGCTTGGTCAGTGCTCCTATGTTTCAAACTATGACACTCTACGTACCCCTCTAGCGTCAGTTTTGGACGTGGCAGGGAGGGTTGGTTAATATTTGTACGATAAGTGTATAGTGTCTTTAAACTTCCGTCTTCACAGAAAGTTAGGTTCAGGCAACAAACACACTTCGTCAGGGTTAGGAAAATAACTTGTTTGACGTTAGCTTGACTTACTAACGCCACTGACTATTAATGTGACTAACAACTCACGTGACTAACTACTGATGTGACAAAATGTCATATTTGCTTTTAGTTTCCCATGGGACGCAAAGAGCAGTCTCTTAAGCGAAAGTCTTGTGTTTGTTTGACCGATCAACCAACCCCTCCCACCTGCCCTGTGTGGACTTTGTTGCACTATGTCAGTTGCTCGGACAGGGTACTGTTTACATTGGAGTTAGTTGTAAGCCCGGTGCAACACAGACACACCCTATTGAGTGTCTCAGTGTGTCTGTGTCAGATGCCATTGAGCAATGACCAAACTGTGGTATTTGATACTTTGGGAGTGAGAAGGGGTTGGGCAACTTGTTGTTTAGATACAAACCAGAGTACCACCCAGCCGGACCTGCCGGACCAAACACCACCAAACTGCCGAGATGGAAGCTAAACTAATCCAGCTAGAGCCTAAGGCTACTCCACCACCCAGTCTACTGCTGGCTGTCTGATGTTCAGTCACAAGAAAATAAGATGGATGAAATAAGACTTCAGGCGAACATAGCAACAGAGATGACTGTTGTACCCACATCTTTACAGAGAACTGGCTCCATCGTGGTATCCCGGATCAAGCTACACTTAACGGACGGACTGCAGGACAGAGTGCAGGACTCCGGTGGGATGAGAGGAGGTGTTTACATCAATGATGCTTAGTGCTCAAACACAATCAAAGGCGATGGAAAAGATTTTAAGGTGTCGAATTTTTCATGCTAAGATGTCGGCTATATTATCTGCCCAGAGAATTGTTTTTGTTGCTGCTGTTTACATTCCTCCTGATTTAAATTTACAAAATGCTATACAGGAATGCACTGTTTTGGTTTTGTTTGTTTGTCATGTTTTTATTGTGTTGCAAATAAGCTACAACTGCATGCAACCCTGTGTTGCATAATGACAAATAATGATCCTTGAAAGCCCCCGTAGGTTGGCTATACTGTATGTATCAAGTACCATGTGAGTTGTTTATAAAATGTATTCCTTTTCCAGATACCTGAAAATAATGATACTGCATAAAGTGATACAAATATTTGTTGAGTGAAGTGTTTAAATAAGTTAAAACAAGTACTTACCGTGCAGTTGTTGAGGCTTTGACCAATGGCAGCATTCTCATAAGAACGTCCTCTGATTTGGAGTATTCGTTTAGGTCAAACACATCCAGATCTTTTTCAGAGGACAGTATCACGTAGACCAGGGCTGACCACTGAGGAGGAAAGAGATTTGCTGTGGAGAGGCTTCCTTGTCTCAGGTAATACTGGACCTCATCCACTAGGGAACAGTCCTTCAGTTCACTCAGACAGTGGAAGAGATTAATGCATCTCTCTGGTGAAGGATTCTCCCTGATCTTCTTTTTGATGTATTTCACTAGCTGCTGGTCGGTCTCTGTGCTTATTCCTGTTTGTTTCAGCAGGCCTTGCAAGAGATCCTGATTTGACTTCAACGAAAGGCCCAAGAGGAAGCGGAGAAACAAGTCGAGGTGTCCATTTGGACTCTTCAAGGCCTTGTCCACAGCTTTCATATAGACCTCAGTTGTGGATGCTTTTCTGAAAAGCTTCTGCAGATGTTGGAGAAGTGTTTGCGGTTCAGCCATCATATCCTTTCTGTGATTAACAATTGACAGGACTACAAAAACAGCTGCCAAAAACTCATGAATACTCAGATGCACGAAGCAATACATCTTGTCTTCGTTCAGCCCATCTTCTTCCTTGAAGATTTGTGTGAACACCCCTGAGTACACCGATGCTTCACCAAGATGAATGCCACTGTTGTTCAAGTCTGTCTCATAGAAGATCAGATTGCCTCTCTCCAACTGGTGAAAAGCCAGCTTCGCAAGTGACATAATGATCTTGATGTTCTCCTTTGTGTCATACTTAAGTGCTGTCTGCTTAATCTGAAACACAAGGAATTTTGTATACATCTCAGTCAGAGTTTGAGGGATTTCTTTTCGGTCGTCTTCGCCTACCATTTGCTTCAGAACTGTGGCAGTGATCCAGCAGAAAACTGGAATGTGACACATGATGTGTAGACTTCTTGATGTCTTGATATGGGACATGACTCTGTTGAACATCGGCCCGTCTCTAAATCTCTTCCTGAAGTACTCCTCCTTCTGTGGATCAGTGAACCCTCTCACCTCTGTCACGATGTCAACAACGTATAGAGGGATCTGATTGGCCGCTGCCGGTCGTGTGGTTATCCAAAGGCGAGCAGAGGGGAGCAGTTTACCCTGGATGAGGTATGCCAGCAGATCACTCACCAACAGTGGCTCGTCAATAGAGCATTCTTCCTTGTCACTGAAATCAAGCTGAAGGCGGCTTTCGTCCAACCCATCAAGCACAAACAGAAGTTTAAATTTACTCTTGTCGAAGTTGGTGTTTCCTGAAGCCTGTAGTTCAGTGAAGATGTAATGAAGCGCCTCCTCTTTTATATCTTGGCTTTCCCTGATACATTTGTGAATGAGCTCTGCCAAACGAAACCTTCTGTCCTTCAGTAAATTCAGCTGGCGGAAGGTGAAGGGGAATGTGAGATGCACGTCTTGATTGGCTCTTCCTTCAGCCCAGTCCAGGATGAACTTGTAAATAAGGAATGTTTTGCCGATTCCTGCAATCCCATTTGTCAAGACTGTTCTTACTGGTGTGTTTTCTCCAGAAGGGTGTTTGAAAATGTTGTTGTGCTGAATTGATCTGTCAGTTCCTTGTGGTTTTCTTGATGTCATCTCAATGTGTCTGACCTCATGCTGCGTGTTGTCATCAACATCATTCCCATCTATGATGTAGAGCTCCGTGTAGATATCATTAAGATGTTTTTTATCCTTCTGCTTTGACGACCCTTCTGGTATACACATAAACTTGTTCTGGAGGTTTGACTGGAGCATGCATTGGTATGACAAGATGGATCGTGGAGGATTTGGTCTTGGCACCAGCAAATCTGTAAGGAATGAACCCATTACTGTGGACTTTATTCATATCACTCTGGATAAAACATTGCCAACATTTTATCAGTATGTTAACTGCCCCACTAGAGACAGTAAAACATTGGACCTCCTGTATGCAAATACTAAGGATACAGTGCCACTGCTCTTTCCTCCCTTGGCAGATCTGACCTGCTCCTGCTGACACCAAAGTATGTCCCTATTGTCCAACGGCAGCCTGTATCCAGAAGGACTGTGAGGACTTGGACTCAGGAGACTAATGAGGCGCTGGATCACCAGTGATTTGAAAGTGCTTCTTGATAAGAAGAAGAAGAAAGCTTTCAGGTCTGGAGATGTGGATGAACTGAGGAATATACAGCATGACTTGTGGGAGAAGCTGAAGGAGTGCAAGGACTACTCAGGAGAAACCTGGAGGCCAAACTCCAGCAGAACAACACAAGGGATGTGTGCAATGGAATGAAGGAAATCAGTGGGTTAAAAGTTAGGGACAAACATTCAGTAGGCAGTCGGAGAGAGCAAATAAGCTCAACTTTTTCTTCTACAGGTTTAGTTCACAGCCCTCAGCTGTTCAGAGAGCTGCAGCTCGTCTGGTGTTCAATCGCCCCAAGTTCTCCCACACAACTTCCCTTCTCCGTTCTCTACACTGGCTCCCTGTAAGAGCTCGCATCCATTGGATGCCTCGTCGCTCAGAGGTCCCTGCAACCGATTGACCCGGTCACGGCTGTTTTCTGTCCTGGCCCCACAGTGGTGGAATGAACTCCCCACTGACGTCAGGACAGCAGAGTCGCTGCCCATCCTTCATCAGGCTGAAAACTCACCTCTTCAAGAAGTACTACCCTGAGCCTTCCACTCACCACTTATTGTATTCATATTAGTTTGTTGCACTTATTGTATTCGTATTAGTTCGTACTGAAGAAACTATTATCCATATTGGATAACCCGGATCACCTTCTCCACCACTTTCTCCAACAGACTGATTCAGCTCCGCTGTCACAAGGACAGATACAGGAGAATATTCCTGCCCTCTGCTATAACACTGTATAATAAATCACCTCTGGCCAGATCATCCTCCTTCAAATGACTACAACAACGCTACACGGTTGTTGCTTGTTGTTGGTGATCCTTGCACTACTGTTCAGTTTGTTTAGTTTACCTAGTTGTTAATTTAATACCATTCTAATTCATTGTATACTGTGCATTTTTTTAAATTCTATTTTATCTTATTTTTTATTATTCTATTTCTTCAAATTCAATATCTGCTCTGTTATTTTATTGTACTGTATATATTGTGCATTTTCATACGTAATATTTTATATTTTATTTTACTCTCTAAATTGCTGCTGCTACAAACTAATTTCCCCCTGGGGATGAATAAAGTTTATATCTATCTATATCTATCTATCTAGTTTGTTTCTGCACTGTACTTTTGCTCTGGTTTATGCTCTTAGATGCTTGTTTAAAAAAGGAGATCCACTTATTACTTCTGGTGACTAGTAGTTCTCTTGAATACCTATGTTGAATACACTTATTGTAAGTCGCTTTGGATAAAAGCATCTGCTGAATGACTGTAATGTAATGTCTCCTTCACCTCTCACCCAGACTTCCACACACCCCGTCTGCCCCTAATGCTTTCACCCTTCTCACCTGAAACCCCCTGGTGAGCTCCTTAGACCCAAATCCCTCACCTTTCAAGTGCCTTTCCTCCACTAACAAGACAAGCACCCTCCTCCGCCTGACTGTCACTACTGGTCGGGTTAGGAGACAGCTGGAGAGACTCCACCAAGGCAAGGCTGCAGGCCTGGACAGTATCAGCCCGAGGGTTCTGAGGACCTGTGTCAGCCAGTTGTCTGCTATCCTGCAACACCTCATCAACCTGAGCCTAAAGCTGGAGAAACAACAAATGCTGTGGAAGACGTCCTGCCTGCACCAGTTGCCAAGAAGACTACTCCATCTGGCCTCAACAACTATCGACCAGTTGCCCTCACATCTCACGTGATGAAGGTGCCGGAGAGAATGGTCTTGGCCCACCTTAGACCGCAGGTGAAATCATCGCTGGACCCTTTACCTACCAGCCCTATCTGGGAGTGGAATTTCTTTAGTGCGTTCAACACCATCCAGCCACTAGAGGGAGAAGCTGCACAATGAGGGTGGACACGTCCACTATCTCCTGGATTACAGACTTCATGACAGACAGACAGCATTTTGACAAACTGAGCAGTGTTCTCTCTGAAATGATTATCACATTGTACACAACAGATGGTTAGTACTGGCCATGTGACTTGCAGGAGTTTTTTGAGAAACTCTGCAGTGGTTGGGTGTATAAGTACAGAGCACTGGGGGATTCATTTGTGGTGTGGGCTGGAAGAAACAATCTGCTTCTGAACATGACCAAGACCAGGGAGATAAACTTCGGATGGAAGAGGATGCTTCACAACCCCTGTGTATTCTGGGAGAGGATGTTGACGAGGTGGAAAATATTAAGATATAATTAATTATATATTCACTACAACGCAAATCACTAGCACTATGCTGGAAAAGGGGCAGTGACTCACGTGTCTACCCTGGTGTCGTGTTTCTAACACTGCCGATGGGAGTTGGAGCCGATAAATACCAATGACTACCACAGACTCATCTGTCCCGGGAATCGATGTTAATGTAACCTTTCCCACTGAAGGCAAAAGCCAGATGTAAGTGGGTGAAAAGGTCTCATGTTTATGGGTCCGAACCAGGGATTTGCAAAAATGGCTCTCTGGTCACAATGCTGCCTCTGCCATTAAAATAAACTTTTTTTCTTAAGAGGTATGCAATCAGTAGTGCCCAAACTGTAAACAGCAATAGCTTCACCTTCAGCCTGAGCACCAGGTGTGAGAGGGTGAGGAGCTCCCTGTGCTTGTTGAATTGAGGAAGGTCCTGTGTTCTCTGAAGTCTCTCCAACATCATCGGCATCGTCTGAGGGAGCCGAGCAGAGATGTAAAGAAAAAGATAGAGAGGATGATTAGAGAGGCTCCTATGATGGAAATTATTCAGCCGTTGGCATAGTGCCAGCTAATGGCCTATTATGTAAGTCAAAGGTATGAAATTTTCAATATTAATTTCATTAGCAGAAGGCTAACATGAACTCAGACTTACCATTGGGTTCAGAACCACTTTTGGAAAAACGCTCCAATAAATCATTTCTGCTGATCTTCCTCAGAACTTCCACTGTGATCTGCAGAGCTCCAAGAAGGCTGTAGGTCTGCACCATCTGATCCACCGTGTCATGCCTGTTGGCCTCTTCCAGTCGGCTCTTCGAGATAGCTGGGAAGCCTTCTATGATTTCTGCCTGCTTCAGGAACCACTGGAAGTGCATGAACTCGTCATTCCCCAAGTCCTGCAGGACTCCAAGGAGGAGCTCCTTCTGTGACATCAGTGCTCTCTGCTCACATGGGAGGACAGTTTAATAGTCAGTCACATAAGTTCAGTTATTTGATTATCCAGAGCTTCATGCAGCAGATTTCTTGAGCTAACTGGATAACTATGCCAAAACCTGGAACCCAGGTCTTTTTACCATTCCATTCTATATTTCATTTCATCAAATCACTATGTTTTCTGATCTTACTGTTTGTATTTGCATGCTTCTTATACAGCCACATTCCACTAGTCAAAAAACATACTAACTTCTGGCTTTTGTCTTGGGAAAGGTTACTGTCGGCATTCATTCCAAGGACAGATTACTCTGCAGTAGTCACAGGTATTTACCGACTCCAGCTCCGATCGGCAGTGATGGAAACATGACACTCGGATGGACATGCTAATTGTTGCCCCTTTAACGGTGCGATGCAACCAAAATCAAAATTCACAAGAGAGTATCTAATGTTCATTTTACATCCTAAAACATCAAACCAAAAAAAATATTTTACTTCGAGACAAGGGAAACAGAAGTGCAAAAATGCTAACTCAGGGTTTTAGGACTCCTTCCTGCACCACTCTATTGAGTGGCCTTACCCTCCTCAAAGGAACAGTGTGTAGGATCTGTTGGCTGGAATGGAATATGATATTAATAACTATTTTATTATTAGTGTATAATGACCTTATACTAAGAATCATTGGATTTTTGTTTCCTTAACAAGGACCCTTCTTATTAAATAGGGAGCAGGATCTCTTCACGGAGTCCGCAATGTTGCATAGCTTTGTTCCTACGGTAGCCCAGAATGGACAAACCAAACACTGGCTCTAGAGAGAGCCCTTCACGTTTCTACGATACCTGAGGTAGGGATGGATGTTAAACGGGCCCCGTGGCTAAACTATTAAAGACCAGAGTATTGATAACCTCCAACGTTACGGGTTCTTTTATCTGTTCTTTTTAATGTGTTGGTGTTATTTAATTATCACGCTGCAGGGCGCATCTCCTCTGCTCTCTGTGTCAGGGCTGAGCTCCTCCAACTACACACAAACACTTGAAGAGAAGTCAGAGAACAATGGCTTACAAGATTGTTGCAGGTTGTCCTGCTGTAAAGGGTGTGGTTTATATTACATTTATGACATTCTCAAACAAAAGAAATTGCACTGTAAAAAGATCTGTACCTCTGCTTTTTTAGAAATTGGATTAAAATACTCTACACAAGATAACATATCTAGTGAAATCAGTCACATTTATCAAGATCCTTTCTTTCGTCACTTGACCAAACAGGAAGGGGTTAAAAGTAATATATAACAATGTATTGAAATCAAAACAAAGAAGCCAGATATTCTTTAGCAGCTTCACATTAGGATGTCCGTCTGATCCTGCTTATATGTTTTAATAGAAACAAATTGTCACTGACCTGCAATCCGCTGTCACATCATTGGACATAACACGTTCACCATTCAAAGTGGAAGCATCAAATGGGGAACTGAGACAGGAATCTGAATTATTGCCTAAATTCCTTCCGTGGTGTTAACATCATCTCTCTTCTTCCTTGAAGAAACGGGCTGAACTCATGTCACAGGTTGGTATTTAGTAGGCTGTTGTTCTTATAGTAAATAATAAATTCCTTACTGTTTTTACCATTAGTACCAGAACTAACAGCAGCAGTTGTAGTTGTGCCAAAGGTGGAAGATAACTGATATTAACATATTTACACAGTCTTAAAGGGGCAGTGTGCAAGATTTAGTCAGAATTTTAGTTTAAAATATGTAAAAAATGAACTATTAACAGAATGTGAAGACGTTAGTGTGATGTTATATCAAAGATGTCTTCTATTATCCAAGTTGGAGAGATATCTACTGAAATTAGCATGCTGACTCTAACTCTAATGGCCATCAGGGGGCCGATTGTATAGAAGTCTATGAGAAAATTACTCTACTTCTCACTTGATTTGTTAGTGGAGCGATTAGTGAGCGGCGTGTCCAGCGGCGATATCAGCCCTACGGAGCGGCGGCGGCCGTCTGAAGTCACGTTTAGCGGCTTAGAGGAGGACGATGGACACAAACCGGAGGACTTTCCTGTCCTTATTAATGCTTATTTTGTTCTGCACAAATATTGTGAAGTCCGCAGATAAAATGTAAAGGAACAAAAGCAGTAAATGCTCTCCAGTAGGACAGAGACTTCAGCCACCAGCAGAGCTACGAGTGAGAACAGAAACAACAAAACGAGTGAGAGACGTGTGTTGACCATATTTATGGACCCATAATCTAGTAAACCTTTATGTGTAAGTGTTAATTTTAAAGTAAATTTGATGTGAGAGAGGAAGAGATAGAGCAAGATCGGCAGCGTTGTAACTAAGTCTGAAAAATATAACTTCTAAAACTTTCTACGAAATGTGTTTGTTTGAGTTTATAGAGGAAGATTTTAGAGTAATATCTTAAGTATCAAACACGATCTTTCATTCTTGAAGACTACTTTATTACTCTGTCGTATTTTTTAACTAAGCAACCAATACTTACTGTATGCCCAGTGTACGTGAATATTGGTTTTCAGGCGTTTTAGTCTAGAGATCATTTCGAAAACGATGCTGAAACGCATTGTTGACAGAGATCGTTTTAGTATGGATGTAGCCCAAAGGAAAAAAAATATCCTTCATGCATATGACTGCACTGAATCATAATAGAAAAACACATGTTCCAATACATTACTTTCAATTTCACAAAATACAGTTATTCACGATAAAATCAAATCTTAAGCCTTAAGAATATGTTCGTTGGGTAAATCCAGTGGTGTATAGTAACGAAGTAGAAATACTTCGTTACTGTATTTAAGTCGTTTTTTTTGGATATCTGTACTTTACTTTACTACTTATATTTCTGTTGACTTCTACTTTTACTTCACTACATTTTGCAAAGAAAACGGATACTTTTACTCCGATACATTTCCCCTGAAACCTTCGTTACTCGCTACAAAATCAAATCTATCTTTAGAAAAAAATGAATCATGAGACCAACGTCGGGAACTGTGGTGGAAGACAGACTGCAAGCAAGCAGGTTTGGCGAATCACGTGGTCCTAGATGCGAGTTAAATCATTGGTTAATCACGTTAATGTGCAATTGTAAACAAGTGCTCTCAAAGCCGCGTTTTTTTGATTCCCAGTGATGCCCAGCATGCTAGCTAGCGAGCGACTAGCTACATGAGAAGACGATGACTGATTTCATGATGGAAGCACCTGCTACTCCCGCAACAAACGACAGTGGTGACGAACACCCATGGCCATATTTGCGAGGAATGTTTTCTTATGTTGGAGTGAAAGATTCTTCGTACCGGATGAAGTGCCTCTTATGCTTACCGAAATCTACCGAAATATTGGCATTCAAAAACTCCCCATCCAACCTCAGGAAACACATTGACGTAAATTAAGATGAATCCCATGAGCCGCAATGTTAATGTTTAGTTGTCATAATTAGCATAGACCTGTTAGGATATCTAGCAGTGTTTCCCACAGGATTGGAGTATATCTTTGGCTGGGGGGGGAGTTTTGATCTTCTAATTTAGCTATATATATGGTGTATGTTAGGCTAACAATCCCTAGCTATCGTAAATCAAATGAGACAATTAGTGTAGTAGACAGATCGCTAGCGAGTTAGTGAGCTGAGGAAGTGTTGACATTTGTGAGATTTTGTTGATTTGAGTCATCTTAGCTATAATCATTGCAGCACGTTAAGTTAGTTAATGTTAGTGTTAGCGTTAACGTTAGCTAGCTAGCTAACTTACCGTTAACTCTAACGTTAACGTTAGCTAACTTAACGTTAAATTAGCTAGCGTTAGCGTTAACGTTAAGTTAGCTACCGTTAAATTAGCTAGCGTTAACGTTAACCACCACACCATAGGATTGACAGGAGCCGCGAGAGCGCAGCATTACGATTTGAACCGCGTCGGAGTTGGAGATGCATGCAAGTGTGTGTAGTAAGTGGGGCTAGCTAAAGTTGTTATGCTTACAAAATGTCTTTCTCTCACTGTTTCAGAGAAAGCATTTACACCACCTTAAAAAATATGGAGAGCTGACATCAACAAAGAGAAAAAGGGCTCCTGAGACTCCCTCCACCAGCAAGCAGACCACATTAGTGAACACCTTGACTGTGTCTCAGAGGTCCATTGACAAAGCTGTCGTGAAGTATGTGGTCCAAGGGCTCCAGCCATTCTGTGTTGTTGAACAAGAACCATTTAGAGATTTTGCGAAGCAACTGCAGCCTAATGCAAAAATTATGACACGGCTGACCCTGCGCTTCATGATTAATGACGCCTCAAAGGGAATGAAGAAGGTGGTGACTGAGGCCCTGAGGGGAGTTGACCATATCGCCACCACCACTGACTGCTGGTCTGTCAGAAGGCGGGGCTTCATTAGTGTTACTGCCCATTGGATTGACCCTGACAGTCTCAAAAGATGCTCAGCAGCCCTAGCCTGTAAACAACTGAGAGGTTCGCACACATTTGATGTGTTGGCAGAATGACATCCATTCCGAGTTCGAAATTCGTGAGAAGATTCAGAGAACAACAACAGACAATGGCTCTAACTTCATAAAAGCTTTCCAAGTTTTTGGTGAAGATGAGAACAACAATGCAGTCGGAAGTGATGGTGATGCATCTCAACCAGGAGAGGATCAAGAGGATCAAGAGGGGGGTGAAGAAGTGGAGTTTGTTGATGTGTCAGCGCTTCTGAATGAAGATGATGGTTTGGAGTTCCAGCTCCCAAAGCACCAGCGCTGTGCTTGTCATCTACTCAACCTAATAGCTACGGTTGATGCCCAGAAAGCAACATCCACTGAGGCATACAAGAAAGTGTATCGTTCAACATTTGGCAAGTGTAATGCACTTTGGAACAAATGTGGAAGATCAACACTTGCAGCCGAAACTGTTGAAGATGCTTGCTCCCTCCAACTGCTGCGCCTGAATGCTACCAGGTGGAACTCCTTGTTCCTGGCAGTGGAAAGACTGCTGAGGATAATCAAAGACAAGGGAGAGGGGACCATCAGAGTCCTCTGCACAGACCTAAAGGTTCCGATGTAAGTAAGAATTATGTATGTTTTATTATTTCATCATAATTGAACATAATATCTTCAATGTCTCTAGAACTGTGGATGTGTTTCCCCACCCTTTCTTGGGCACTAATAACTGTTTCACATTGTATCCCAACTTCCACTTATCATTGATCCATTTTAGTTAATTACTCATCCAGCAATTTTTTGTTGAATCTGATGAAATGGTGATATAGTGTTATCAAACGGTGTTGTTGTTTTTGTTTTCATCACAGGTTCAATCCAGCTGAACTCGCATTCCTCACAGAGTATGCCACTGTCATGAGCCCAGTCGCCCAGGCAACCAACCTCTTGCAAGCAGAGGCAAATACCCACATGGGGTGGCTACTTCCAACAATCAACCTGCTGACCGCCAAACTTGACAGAGTCAAGTTGCCATTGAAGTACTGCA